TAACATAATGATTTGGAATGTATAGGTTATTTAGAATACCACCTGACCCACAACGCTCAATAGGGTATGTAAAAATTCTGCGTCGCTTTCTCTATTATATGCTTTTTACAGAATCTAATTATCTCTTATAGTTTAAAAGATATTCCAAAAACGCGACGCGCAACATTAATTGAACGCCTCTTTATAAATAACTAATATAAGTCTGCATTACATTAGAAGTTTTGGAACCAAACATAATATTTATATTTCAATACAAACCTATTATAAAATGTTTGCCACAAATTATATGAATCTTAATTAATAACAAAATTATAATTCTATTAAACATTTTATTTATTCTGAATTTAATTTGCTTTTAAATAATTCTTAAACACAACTGATGTCTAAATCAGTAAAATACAAATATTGGAAAAATAGTCATTTCCTGATTCAGTCAAATCCTTTAGTTTATAATCTTAATCGTAAATATTTTCAGTTTAATCCATAGTTTTTATACAATTTTTAACCACAATTCAGCTAAGAATAATGTGGTTTATAGCATAGTTCAACCCCCTCCCCTCGTTCTATGGAATTTAACATGGGATTCCAGCTTAAGTCTATGGCTATACTTTAACTTTAACTTCATACACCTTAACTTGGGACGTAGACTTTTGCTCGAAAGTCACTTGCTCGAAGGACACTTGCTCGAAAATCACTTGCTCGAAAGTCACTTGCTCGAAAGTCATTTGCTCGAAACCCACATGCTCGAAAGTCACTTGCTCGAAAACCACTTGCTCGAAGACACTTGCTCGAATACACTTGCTCGAAAGACACTTGCTCGAAAATTTATAAATGTCATTTTTAGCATAACAATTATTGTAAAACATCATTTTCAAACAACAATTGTAACTTTATTGTAATAAAATTCTTTATTACTATTTAAAATGTGTATAAAGTATTAAATAATTAATAAATTTAGTTGTTTTTGTTACAAAATGTTAAATAGTTATTGATATATTTTAATAAGTTTATATTTTTGCAATAAATATAATATTAAGTGTGTTTTACAATAATTATTTGATTAAAAATGACATTTATAAATTTTCGAGCAAGTGACTTTCGAGCAAGTGTATTCGAGCAAGTGTCTTCGAGCAAGTGGTTTTCGAGCAAGTGACTTTCGAGCATGTGGGTTTCGAGCAAGTGACTTTCGAGCAACTGACTTTCGAGCAAGTGACTTTCGAGCAAGTGATTTTCGAGCAATAATAAAACCAAATAAAACACACGAAATTTAAGAAAATAATAAAACCAAATTTCTGTGAACACTACTCTTAATTAACCATGAATATTTGTAATAAATTGAATCACCATGATTGATGCATAATTGAATGGTTGCTCAATAATCTCGTGCAACGGGTCTAACAGGTAATGACATGTGGTTTGATAAACATGTGGTCATTAGTGCACTAATAATTGCTATTAAATAGATTTAACGTTAATTTTACTCCCGATTTGTTTTCATAGGTTTTTGGACCAAAAATAAGTTTTGAAAGAAAATATTAATTAAAAGTAATTGAAAATCAATTGTGAGGACAAAGTTTATCACTGATTGGTTTAATTGAGTGAAACATTATTTGCGATTACTGTTGAAAATACTGTTCAATGAATTCATCGGTTATTGTCAACGATTTGATGGACGAGTTAACCGAAGAGCGGAACCGATTGGTGGCGGACAGGGATCGGGTGTCTGAGGATAGGGAACGACTGTCCCGTCGTTTGGCGTTCAGCGAGAAATACATTGAATTAATGCTAAACTATAGGAAATGTTTGATTACTTTTGACAAACACTGTGTTTGCGATGAAAACTCATTGAATAAGTTTGTGTTAACTCTTCTCGAGAAGGAGTTCGACACGTTTGAAGACAACGAAGACAACTATCGATACGAACCGATGCCAAGCAAACAGTCAATTGGTGTACAAACCGATGATAAGGAGAGTCGCGGACAAGAGTTTTCATTTATGTCGGAACAGATTAATTGCGATCATATGCTAACCGCCGACGACAGTGTCGGCCATAGCATCGCTCACTTTAATAACGATTCTGTGGATAGAAAAGAGATTTTATTACCGCTGATGACCAGTCAATTGAACGACGAATATCTGATACCAGAGACGAGGGGTGACTACGAAGTAGCGGTTCCAGTGGTGGTCACCAACTCTACACCGATACTAATGACACGACCAAAGCCTGCGAATAGGGCTAAGAATAAGCCAAATGCTAAGTCAACGCAGAGGTTAGTGACTGTTAGGATCTAATAGATAAAGTGAACGAACATATGTGTAATATTAACTCGTTGTTACTCTACTATCTTTACAGTGGCATCAATGATGGCAACGCCACGGATCAGTTTAAATGTCCTAAAATAGGCTGTTATCTGAGCTTCAGTTCGCAATTTCAATTGAATAAACACATAATGAGCGCTCACCCGAACGCCCGGCCCTATCGGTGTCCCTATTGTCCCAAAGCATACAAACTGTGGCATCACTTGAAACAACACCACAACAGGACTCACGCCAACGATCATCAAAGAGGGGATCGATTGTCGACCGACGACGAGAGGCAGCACTTCAGCCGATGCCGTCTCGATGACGGGTCGGGCTTTCGGTGCGATTGGCCCGACTGTCAACAGGTTATCAGTCGGTTTGAGAACTTCAAGGGACATATGCGGACTCATCGGTAATATATCAACGCTTGTCTCGTGCCATACATTATATTTTGTGTTTAATATTTATAACTTAGCGGCGATTATCGGTTCCCATGCGATGAGTGCGACAAACGATACGTCGATTACCAGCGTTTGGTACGACACCAGAGGAGCGCTCACAACAGATCCGTGGACTTCGAGTGTCATTTCGCCGATTGTCACTATAAGACGATCCATAAGTATCGGCTAAATATGCATTTCATGAAACACAGCCAACAGAAGGCGTTTAAGTGTCGCATCAATGGCTGTAAATCCAGTTTTAATCTCAAACGCAACTTAAATCTGCATAAAGACCGTAAACACGGACTCAATCGTGTCAAACATTACCCGTCGGAACAAAACTCAATATTTATGTCTCAATTGCCCATCAATTGAATGTTTGAAATCTTTAATTAATACTGTTTTGATTATTGTTTGTAATAATTATTAATCTGTGCTAACATTAACTCAAACAACGTGTGAATTAATCATATTTTTAATTTTGTAAAATATATTTTTATGATTAAGTTTTTAAATATCATTTCAACCATAGCTTTAATTATATAATATAAATGAATTGAATTTATAATTTAATAATAATTAAGTATTAAATAAAATACAATTAATATTTTAATAATAATTATAATAGGATTTATTCGTAAACAGTTGTCAAATGAGATCTAAATATAAAGACAATCAAAATATTTACTGTTTAAAGAAAAAACACATGAGTTATGAATTGGAGTATCACTTAATGTCAGAATCAGTTGACGACAAGAAGTGATGGCAAATAGATTTTCAAGGATTACAACAAAACTGTTTAGCAATAAGTTTTTGCTAACAAACATAAAAATAATAAGTTTATAAAAATACATTATATTTATAAACTTGTATAACATAACCATAGCTCAGAGCGGAGGCCACGGATGTGCCAAATAGAGGGTCAATTCATTTCGTATATTACTTTCGTTTACAAAATTTGTTTAAATATATGTATATAAAGATGTTTTAAATACAAATGTTTAACAATCGTGTTGTCAAATATACGATGAATTCAAATTAATATATTTTCGAAAAAACAGTTAATTTATAAATGAGTTTCAATTTTCAATATTTATTGTGGATAATCGATGAATGGATTGATGAGCTATGGATTGAGTTGGGATGGGATTTGTAGTGTTGGGGTGGCTGTAGATGAT